GGAATCGTCAGCAAACAATATAAGATATAATTTTTTAGATGCTAAAAATAAGTCGTTTATATATATTAGAAACAATAATGGTCCTAAGATAGATCCTTGAGGAACCCCGCAATTTATAAGCTTTTTTTTGGTTTCATTTGTTTCATAGGTTATGCATTGTTTTCTGTTAGTCAAGTAGTTTTTAAACCAAAGTAAGTTTAAGTTGTTTACTCCATAAAGTTTTAATTTTTTTATAAGGATTTCATGATTGACAATGTCAAATGCTTTGGATAAATCAATGAAAACTCCTAAGGTAAAATAATCTTTATCAAAAGCATCCGATATATGATTTACAAGCTCAATTACCGCGTGATCCGTAGAATGATTTTTTTTAAACCCAAATTGTTTGTTGTACAGAATATTATTTGATACTAGATGATTATAAAGCCTATTGTACATAATGCGTTCTAGCAATTTAGAGAAACAAGGTAATACAGAAATAGGTCTATAGTTTGAAACATTTGTTTTTTCACCTGACTTAAAAATCGGTGTGATTTTAGCTATTTTAAGTTTGTCTGGTACAATACCCGACGTTAATGAGAGATTAAAAATGTGAAACAATAAGGGTTCAATAATATCAAAGACTGATTTAACTACTTTGACGCTAATTTTATCTATGCCTGCACTTTTGTTATTTTTCAGAGAGCAAAAGGCATTATGCAACTCACTTATATTTAAACTTAGTTCTGTCATAACATTATTTGCTGTTTTGAGGTATGTTTCAAATTTTATGGTACTAGATGGAATTTTAGCCGCCAGATTTGGACCAATCTCAAGAAAAAAACTGTTTAGCTTTTCAGCTATGGTTTCTTTGTCATAAACAACTTTTTCATCAATTAACAGTTTTTGTGGCAAATTGTTTTTAATCGAAATATTTTTGCCAATTATTTCTTTTATTATATTCCAAGTTTTTTTTGTATTTCCATTACTTTTTTCCAATAGCTTTTCATAATAAGATTTTTTTGATAATTTTTTGGTTTTTTCAAACAAATTTTTGTATTTTATGTATATTATTTCATTGTGATATGTTTTATGTCGTAGATATTTTTCATATAGTTTTTGCTTTTTCTTTGAAGATTTGATTAAACCTTTTGTCATCCACGGATTTAAAATAGACTTAGAATTTAAATTTTGTTCGATTAAAGGAAATGCCTTATTATATTGTTTACTAAAAAACGTGAGGAATAATTCATAAGAATTATTTGCATTTTGTGTTTCATACACTAAGTTCCAATCAACAGAATTTTTTAATAGATCGCGAAATCGTGCTAAGGAGTTTTCATTAATTTGACGTACCAAAATTTTTGATTTTATGGAATTGCTTTTTAATGTCATGTTTTTAGTGGTTAGAAAGATCGGAAAATGATCACTTATGTCGGTCTTAATTATGCCTGTTCTTATGCAGGATTTGTGAAAATTGTTTGTTATTAAGTTGTCGACTAATGTTGAAGATGTCTTTGTTATTCTTGTTGCCTTATTTATTGTTGGAATAAAATTATATTGCAAAATGGTGTCAATAAAGCATTTAGCATCATTTTTTGATGCATAATTTAAAATGTTTATGTTAAAATCTCCAACTAAGTATACATGTTTCCGATTTTTACTGGTTTGGGTTAGAAAATTTTTAATGTGAGCTTTAAAATTTTTTAAGTTTCCAGCTGGTTGTCTATAAATAGAGTTTACGAAAATGTTTTTATCCTTTTTATTTATTATTTCAATGCATAACGACTCACAATCTGTTTCATTCACGCAAAGATCATTACGGTGAATAAAATTTAATGAGTTGTGAATAAAAATACTCACCCCACCACCAGCATGTTTATGACGCGATTGATAAACTGATGCGTAATTGGCTAATTCAAAACGTGCGTATTTTTCACTGTTTTTAAGCCACGTTTCTGTAAGGCAGATAATTTTAAAATCGTGTTTGAGGTTATGCAATAAAATTTTAAAGTTTTCAAAGTTTTTACTCATACTCCGAATGTTCAGAGTTAAAATTGAGAAAGCATTATTGTTCTGAGAAAGAAAATGAGTAGATTCAGAAATTGAAAAATACTCAGTTTCAAAGCTTTTTTCACAAAAAAAATTTTCATTATCATTATCACTAAGCTTTAGATCTTCGTAGTTAAATTTTGTAGAAAAGTTATCCTCCATTTTAAAAACTTAAAATTTTAAATAAAATAAAGAAAGAATAAGGTAATATATATACATGAATAAAAAAGAGTTAAAATATAAACGAACCTAATTCTTTTTTCGATTGGAAGCCCAATCACGTATGATCAACCTATCGTACGAAATAAAAGCGTATTTCCCTGCTGTTCGTTCTACTTTCATCTTTTCTTTTAAAGCTCTTCTTATTTGTGTGGTCTCCGGACAAAAGTCTTCATTGATGAAAATATTTTTTCCTTTTAGATGATAAGATTTTTTAAGAATTTCTGTTTTATCTTTGAAATCCAAGAGTTTTAGGACGATCGTTCTTGGCTTTTTTGCATCTTTCTTGCCAGTTCTGTGAGCTCGTTCTATTTTAACATTTTTTACATCTAGATAATCTTCAAATAATTTTTTTACCTTTGATTCGGTCTCTTCCCAGGTTTCGTTTTCATTCTCTTTTACACCGTCTACTCTTAAGTTATTTCGCCTCGAACGATCTTCCATTTCCCTTAACTTGTTTTTTATATTAAGGAATTCCGAGTTTACTTTAGTTATTTCACTACCAGATGGATTTATCTTTTCCTGATAACTAATTGCAGTTTTTATTTTATCATCAATAAGTTGTTCATGAAAATTTAAGCTCAATTTCATTTCTTCAACATCCTTTATTATTGACTTAACTCGTTCGGCATTGTCGTTTATATTTTTTTCAACTTTATCTAAGCGGTCATGAACTATTTTTGCGCTTGAACTTACAATGGCTATAATGTTTTTTTCTTGTTGTTTTAAGATTTCTTCAAATTGTTTTTTGTAATCACTAAACATCTCCTTCAATATATTTTTAATGTCATCTCGAGTAACTGCCATAACTAAATTTATATGATTGATAAAATCTTGATTCAATTATTTCGATAGATAGAAACTTATTACACAGTTACTAAAATGTATCAGTTTGTATTTTTTCTGTAGTTTTATTATTAAACTATTATTTAAAGATATTTTTTAATAACAACTTTTTAGATTAAAACAAATTCTACATCATAAAAAAAAACACGTCCGTTCACTTCAGAAGGTGAGTACTTTTTGTTATTATGACAAAGTTATTATTTCTAAATGGAAATCTCAGAAATTAGTTTTTTCACATAATCTAAGCCATTAGATAAAAAAGCCATACCGAATAAAACATAGGGATTAAACACTAAGTTGAAACCACAAGGAAAACTAAAAAGTTTTAGCTTTTTTTTATTTTTTACTTATTTTTCTTTTAACCCTTAAATTAGGTCATATATTTAAATTTTTTTTTTTCATTGGCATTTTATATTTTTGTTTCGTTTTTAATTTAGTTTTTTATTTTTATTTCAGTTTTTCTTTAATTCTTATATTTAAGTAAAATTAATTTAAACAATATTATCAGAATGATAAAAGATAAGGTCACTATATATATATATATATATTTATATATATATATATATATATATATATATATTATATATATATATATATATATATATATATATATATATATATATATATATATATATATATATATATATATATATATATATATATATATATATATATATATATATATATATATATATATATATATATATATATATATATATATATATATATATATATATATATATATATATATATATATATATATATATATATATATATATATATATATATATATATATATATATATATAAAATCTGAGCAATGATCTCAGCATCAGTAGCAAGTGAACCAGTGGTTACTACATTGCAATCTAAACCAATGTAAGATTCCGCTGAGAGATCTTCTTGGACGGCACAAGGATTTAACTCTTGCAAACGGTCAAGTTCTTCTGTCAAAAATTTAAAAAGATGATCATCATCAGCTTCTTCAATACTCTTATTTTTTTTGCTGATACCAGCTTTTTTAAAGCAGTTAATGGCAGTCTTTTTCGACACAGCATTCCACGAAGAAACAAGATCTTTCATTGCTTGAAGTATAGAAATTTTTGGCATGGGTTCGTTATTATCGACAGCCTTGATACACAAACGCACAATTTTGTGACGATAATGAGCTTTAAGACTTCGTCTTACGCCTTGATCTATGGACTGAAGAACACACGTGGTTTTAGGGGGGGGGGGAGGGAAATATTAGGTTGATGTTGCTTAGCACTTAAATGGGTGGGTGGGCAGAACAGTTATCCACCAGGAGTGCTATTTTCCTGTCTTGAGTACAAAAAAATGAGTCAAGTTTCATTACCCATTCTGTAAAAAGGTCTCCGGTCATCCAACTTTTTAGCTGATTTTTATATGTGCAAGTAAGTTGTTTAATGTGCTTAAAACACCATGGGTTTTTAGATTTTCCAATAACAAACATAGGTAATTTTTCTCCCGTTGCACTCCCTGCTGCTATTCCTGTTAGTCTGACTGACTTTACTATTTTTTCCCCAAAAACATTTTTCTCGTGATAAATAGTATGTTTTGTTTGGTAGGCACTGGTAAAATAGTCCAAACTCATCGGCATTGAAAATGTTTTCAAGTTTGTAATTCAAAAGTAATGTTGGAAGTGTAGTTTCATTCCACAAAGCAGTCATATTATTCGTCACGGCGGCTTTTTCGCCTAAGATTATTTTAAAGTTGATGCTGTTCCTAAAAATAGAAACAGATTAATTAAATTTTAATTACACGTTTAAAAAACTAAATAAATTAAATATAAAGAGATACATGTTATTTGTTTATATTTAAATTGAACAAGATTTGACAAAATTTAACTGACGATTCTTTCCAATTATGAAATTAACAATCAGACCCTTACAAAAAAACCCAGCGAACTTCCAGTGAAAAAATGTTCCAAAATCCAGCGAACTTCCAGTGATCTTTTCCAGTGATCTCTAAAGTTCACTGGAAATTTCCAGCGAACTTGTTCCAAAACCCAGCGAACTTCCAGCGAACTTTTCCAGTGATCTTTAAGGTGGTTGCCCAAGAAATAAATCTTGATTTTTTTTTAATTTTTTTTTTTTTTTTTAAAATGTTTTTTATGAGCAGAATTTTATCCTCTTTAAAATGGTATATGAATCTCATATGTATAATTTATATAAAGTCTTTTATTTCTAATTTTTATATAGTGGTATATAAAGTTTTTCTTCACATTTTTGTTTTTGACATTTTTCTTCATTTGTGACTTCAATTGAAGTGTCAAATATCTTGGGTTTACCTCTTCAAATAATCATCAACTCCGTATCAAAGTAATGTCGTTTGGTGTATCTTAGGTTTTATGGATTTTAATAAACTAAAAGTCATTATTTGAATGGATATTTTTCGTTTTGACCAATGTAATGCAACATAAAATATACTATTTATTAGATTTTTATGAATGTTTATTGTGGTTTAATGACTTATTTGTATTTTTATTGGTTCTTACTCTTTTAGACTTAAATATACAATAATGACAAAAGGAAATAAGCAAAATAATGCAAGAAAACTTAAAAGAAAGGCTCCTCTCAATCATTTTAGAAAACAGCAAAAAAATGATCTATTCTCAAAAATCTATTTTTAGAGATAGCTTGTCCAAAATGTCATATGCTAACCATTAATTTATTTGATAACACACAAAAAAGAATGGGATTTTCACATAATCTCGAGTTAAAATGTACATCTTGTGACCAATGGAGTCATACTATTTATTCATCTAAAGAATGTGTAAAGAATAGCAGTAATACCACTGGAAGAAGTATATTTGAAGCAAATGCAAGTGTTGCCTTATGTGGGAGAAACAAAAAGGTTCATCAAGTTATGATAGATGGAAAGCAAAACATGTATGTAATATTAATCATGTTAAGTCGTTTGGTGCTATGGAGGAAGCTGGTGCTGTTAAAATCTTTTAACGTTCTGTAGAAAAGAACAGCCTTATTTACAAAGAAAATTTAGGTGATGGAGATTCTTCGTCTTATAAAGAAGTCATAGCAGCAAATCCTTATAAAGATTTTGGTATAACACCTCTCAAATTGGAATGTATTGGGCATGTTCAGAAGCGCTTAGGTACTCGTCTTAGAAATCTTGTAAAATCACATAAAGGTACAAAGAATCCCATATCAGGAAAGAGGAAGTTGACTGAAAAAACAATTAACTCAATGCAAACCTATTATGGAAAAGCTATAAGAAACAACTTAAACAATGTTTATGCCATTAAAAAAGCAATCGGCTCAGTGTTGTTTCACTGTACTGCGTTTAGCGATGAGAACCAGCGGCATGAAATGTGTCCACGTGATGACACTTCTTGGTGCAAATGGCAGTTAGATAAGACTAATAAGACAAAAGCATTCAAAAACACCATAAGTTTACCAATGTCATTACCTTTTAAAACCGATCTTTGTAAGTTTATCAGACGACGAGTTATTGAACAAATGCGTTCACGGGCAAACTCAAAACACTAATGAATCGTTCAACTAAGTTGTATGGACTCGATGTCCCAAAAATGTTTTTATTGAATGAAGAACATTTGAATGTTCAATTAACTCAGCTATTTTACATTATAATGATGGGAGTGGCGGGGTTAATGCAGTTTAAGGACATTTTGGCTTACATGGAAAGGCGACTGCGGATAAATCTATTGCACGAGATTGCCAACGTGTTACTAGAATGGAAAAGCGATCAAGTCCAATTGTTAAAAAACAAAGAAAAAAATTAAAAGCATTCAAAAAAGGGTACATGGATAAAGAGAATGAAAGTGAAAAGTGTGAATCTTACACTGCTGGTGGTTTTTAACATCTTTTTCTTATTATTTTAGACAAAAACTTGATTTTCTCATGTTTATGGTTTTACATAATTTTTAAAATTTTAAAACATGATATCTCAAGATTGAATGGATTAAATAAGTTGAAATTTTCAGGAAATACTCATATATTATATATAATCCATACATCATAGGCTTTTTCTTTATTGAGGTAAAAAACTTCTTAATTTGTAAAATTTATACAAAAAATACTATGCTTTAAACACTCTTTTTACTAATAGAGGCATAACTTTTGACTAAGTGAGTCAATAAAAAAATTGATATGTCAAATGGATTTTACTATCGTTTTTAAGCTATGATGAAAATTTGAAGTAGTAACTATCTTCACATCTGCAGATATTGTGTTTTAAAATATTTCATTTTTTTGTCTCATTTTAGCGATAAAATAGGGTAATCGAGACAAAAAAATGGTTTGGTGTGTTTGAAATATTTTTTAAGTTGAGACCAGCCATTTATACCAAAATTTGGTTAATTAAATTCACAGGGTCAAAAAAAAGTTTATTTCTTGGGCAACCCCCTTAAAGATCACTGAAAATTTCCAGCGAACTTGTTCCAAAACCCAGCGAACTTCCAGTGAACTTTTCTAGCGAATTTTCATGTTTATGTATAAAAATAGATTTGCTGGAAGTTTTTTTAAAAAAGATTTTTTATTTTTGCTATAAAAGTTTCAAAAGTTTATAAACATTTTAAATTTTTTATAACCAATAAACGCGAAATAGTTAAAAGTTAAGCGCGATAAAAAAGTAATATATTTATTTTAAAATATCGAGTTTTATAAATTAAAATACAATGTAGGATTAGATTATCTTAGGTATAATTACAAATTCTCAGAAATAAACTTCAATACAGAATACAATTTTTAACAAGAAACTAAAAAGTTAATTTATTAATTAATGTAAAACATATTTTTTTATAGGCATAAGTAAACTTTATATTACGCATGTTTCTATATTTAAAAAATTTTTTCTCGTTAGCGTTCTCATACGACAAATTATCACAACGAAACAAAAAGAATTAAGAAATTCGTCAATTCATCTTTTGAAAACCACTTTACGCATTCTTTTCGGTTTGGGCCTTTACAGCTAAAAAAAAAAGAAAAAAAAAAAAGAATGCATACAATAAATAAAGAACACACACACATATATATATATATATATATATATATATATATATATATATATATATATATATATATATATATATATATATATATATATATATATATATATATTTATTTAAACAATATTCAAAATGTATTCTACAAAATAGAGTGCTCAATGTTCTTAAAAGAACAGAGCAATTATAAATAAGTAGAAAATTACTTAACAAATTTTTTTTTTCATTTTACACTGTTACATCGAAAACTTTTAAAAAATTTCTATTAAGTGACTTTCTACTAATATATATATATATATATATATATATATATATATATATATATATATATATATATATATATATATATATATATATATATATATATATATATATATATATATATATATATATATATATATATATATATATATATATATATATATATATATATATATATATATATATATATATATATTCTGGTAAATAAATTTAAAAACTGAAGACAATACAGAGAAAAAATTAATGGACAAATAAACATGCTACAAATCAATTAAAAATTTTATTACAAATTATGACAAAATAAACCTCCTAATATTAAAATAACAATAATAATGTAGTAAGTTAGTTGGATAAATTTATATTTAGGATTTTCCCATTTAATATGAAGTGCTTCTTTTATTTTTAATTTGTTAATGGTAGAGGCAGTATCCAAAATCTAAAAGCAATCAAAATTAGTTAGTGTTTTACAAACACTAACTAATAATTATATAAAACATAATATTCAAAATAAGACAAAATGTGAAATGATAAGCAAAAATAAAACAGTATAAGATAGATAGATTCGCGCAATTAGAATCAATCATTTTTTATTAATTTATCAATTTCCAACCAATAGCATTTTATCACTTTTATCCTGCATAAAAATAATAATTATAGATAAAATAATAAAAACTTAATTATATATATATATATATATATATATATATATATATATATATATATATATATATATATATATATATATATATATATATATATATATATATATATATAATCAATTATTATAATAACTAAATAATTTTAATTTAAAAACCCAGCAAACTTTCACTGGAAGTTTTCTGGTTTT